TAAGCCAAAATAATCAATAATCTATTAACAAAAGTTGAGATATGAAGCGTGTGCGGCCTTTTTAGAGACAGCAGAGAGGCTGCTATATTTATATATGAAGCCTTCTTTGGCGCATGCATTTGTATTGCATAGCCACGCAGCCACCTTCCGATCCATCCAAGAATAGAACTAAACAGCATACGTATTCAGCTGTTACTAGATCGACATTTTAATCATACAGATTAGATTAGGGTGGGGCTTATTTGTCAAACCCATTCCATGGTTTTTTATGGACTGAACAAGTATCCTTCTCTGCTGATTTTTTTTCTAACAAAAATAATTTCATCTTGTTAAAAAATTAGGATCTTTCAAATAATTTTAAATCTTATTAAAAAAATACATTAAGAGTTGTCAAATAAATGACAATCTATCAGGACTTTATTTGCTAAATTACGAGTAGTGCAGTTAGAAACACGAGAAATAAAAATAAAAGAAACTATCGAAGGAGAGTTGATTTTTCTAGTAGATTAATTTCTGAAAAATGAAATGATCTATTTTGAAATTCCCCGATCGAGCCGAATTTAACAAGTTAAGTAGAGATTTTAGCATCACCTTAACGGAAGGAATTGGCCAGAAGAATATAGCATCCTTGAAAGCAAAAGCTTCCATGTTACAACAAAAATCACATGACGCTATTGTATATATTACAAGATAAATCAACACAATTAATTAGCTTATACAATATCTACTAACAATTAATCGGCTTCTCTGGTGATTTACTTTCATGTTACTACAAAAATTACATGATATTATAGATATTATAAGATAAATTAACACAATCAATTAGCATATACAATATCTACTAACATTTAATATAATAATTTAAAATTTTAAGTCATTTGTGATATTAATTCACTGCACTAAATAATTTAGAGAGCTCATATCATACCTAAGTCCTTTAAAAATCCTAAAAAAAAAAAAACAATATAGAATAATTTTTTTTCCAAATAATCTATTATACCTAATCTAAATAAAAATATTGTTTTTTATATTAAAATATAATATAAAATGAAAGCAAAGCAATTCAAATGTATTTAGAAATATCACTACAAGAAAATCGAAAAATAGCAACGGATTTTTTCGTCGCTATATCATCAATATCCATTGCTATTTAGCCTTAGCGACAGATTTGAGAAAATATACTTTACGTAGCAAATGAGGTCATTGCTATTTTCTTAGCAACGCTTTTTTTTATCGCTAAAACGAAGAAAACAATCATCTTCTCGGTTTGTTATACTGTTGCAAAACCATTGCTACTTGATTTTGTCGCTAACTAGCAACAGAATATCCTAGCAATGGAATATTCGTCGATAAATTATGCTCATTAAAATTTCTCATAAATCCGTCGCTAAATCCATCGTTATTTAGCGACCGTATATGTGTCCGTCGCAAAGAGATTTAGTTTTTATTGCTAATTTGGTCACTAAACAAAGAAAATTATTTTTTTTTATGTAAATTAATAGTTGTTTAATGTTAATGGTAGTAACAAATAACTAAAAATAACATCTTATTAAAATATAATATATTATTTAATAAAATTAAAATAATATAAATTGAAATTAAATAAATATATAAATGTATTAAGGTGTACAAAACATTAAAACCTTTTAACAAGCAAGAAATCTAATCCTCATTATCTCCCGCAAAGTCTCTACTATAAATTACACATTTTTCAATTAACAAATAACTCAAATGATCACACAAATATTGAAATTAAATCAACGAATAATCAATTTGCACACATTGAGATCGAAACTTGCATTGGTTACTCCATTGAAATTAAATCTCGGACTCATCATCTCATCTCTAATGCAAAGTATTGAAGTAACCTTATTTCTCCTTAATTCCCAAGTCTTCCGACCCATCGGGTTTGATACGCTATGACGTATCTTGACACACTTCAACAATCATCAATAAAATAATTAAATTAACCCTAATTCAAACCTAATTAAATATTAAATAAAAAATAATTAATAAATTATAATATAAATAAAATTAGAAATGAACAAATTAATCAAAATTAGCCTAATTAATTTAAACCTAAATCAAATTAACTTAATTAAATATAATTCAAACCTAAATCAAATAGCCTTAATTTAATCTAATTCAAACCTAGTTAATTTAAAATAAAAAATAATCGACAATTTCCAATATAAATAAAATTAAAAATCAACCAATTAATAAAAATTAATCTAAATAATTTAACTCTAATTCAAATTAACCTAAGTAAATTAACCCTAATTCAAACCTAATTCAAACCTAATTAGGTTGATTTATTAATTAAATTTAAATAAAATTTAATTAATAAATCAACCTAATTATCTTAACTCTAATTCAAATTAAACTAATAGATTTAAATCTAATTCAAATTAACCTAAGTAAAATAACTCTAATTGAAACCTAATTAACCTAATTATTAATTTAATCATAATCAACAAATTAATGTAAATACCAATTAAAAAACACATTATCCTAACCAATTTAACTCTAATTCAAATTAACATAATTAATTTTACTCTAATTCAAATTAACCGAAGTAAATTAATCCTAATTGAAACCTAACGACCTAATAAATTTAACCCTAATTAACAAATTAACCCAATTAATTTAATTATCAATTAATTAACAAATTACCCTAACCAATTTAACTCTAATTCAAATTAACTTAATTACTTTAGCAAATTAACCTAATTAATTTAAATACCAATTAATCAACAAATTATCCTAACTAATTTAACTCTAATTCAAAGTAACCTAAGTAAATTAACCCTAATTCAAACCTAATTAATTTAAATCTCAATACCAAATTAACCAAATTAATTTAAATATCAATTATTTAATAAATTAACTTAACCAATTAACAATTAAATATAAAAAAATTAAAATTCAGCTAATTAATCATAATTAACCTAACAATTATGAAAAATAACAATATTTATAAGAAAACCAAAGAGAGAGAAAGAGCACATACCTTTGGACAATTAGGAAGAGACGGAGAGGAAGGAGAAAATTTAAGACTTTTTAGGGAGAGAAGAGTTTGGTGTGGGTGGAGGTTATAGGGAGTGGAGAGTTGAGTTTTGTTGTGGTTTCGTGTAATACCCCCGACTTAGGATCTTAGTAGGTTGAGAATATTATCGATAATATCTAACATTTGAAATGCAAAGAATGCAAGATACGAAATCTCATGACCTTTACAATGCAAAATATTTGATATTTACAACGGAAGTTCCTTAAATTTAAAATTTAGGTCCATCTTTTAAATTAAACATATTATAAATACAAATTCATTTCCTTAATCTTTTCAAATTAATTAACTCGAAAATGCTTTTGATTTATTATTGAAATTAATTCATGAAACCAATTCATGAAATATAATTCGAAATCATTTTAAGATACTCATATACAAAATATACATTTGGTTTTCTTATAGTGTATACAGAGATTGTACCATGAGAAACATATCTCAAAAGAAATTATAAGTTAATTTTATCATTTTTATATCTTAGTCATAATAGGTCAATTCACAATTAAAAAAAATATAAAACATAGCTAAAGGCTAATGGATTATTAATTCGTATATAAATTTGTAATTATAACTTTTAAATTGTAATTTACGTTTTATGTGCTATATGGTAGAAAATCATTTGATAATGGGAAGCCTCAGCCACTATGTGCATTGTGAAGGGATTGTGTAGTTGATTAGTTAGCTAATGTTGGTTTGAAGCTTCATTTAGTAGTGTGTCATTTTTTTTGTTTATATTTACGGATAGTGAAATATTTTTTGCTCAATTTTTATATAATTGAAACTAAGTTCATTACTTTCTGAACTAATCTAACATCAAAACATACTTAATTTTTGATCGACTATTGGACTCATTCTTAAACCAAATGAGCCAAAACCTAATATCATTAAAAAATAATTATGATTAATTATTTATAGGTCGTGAAAATGAATCTTGGTTTGATCATCCTTTTTATGGCATTGGTAATCTCTTGCGTCATGATGTCATTTGTGTTTGTGGGATTGCTATATTTGAATCCTGTCATTCTTAAACTTCTTTAACAATTAAGCCCGTTTATACACATTAGGAAAAGAAAAATCACTTGATCATTTTTACTGCTATATTCGATTTTTTTTTTCTAATTTAAGAGTGAATTTTATCAACTAATTAATTTTTGAATTCAAATCCTCTGATGTTCCAAAAAAAAATGACCATTATATTTCTTAAATCAAAATTATTAAATTTAAGGTGGATGAATCTGATTTTAAAAAAAAAAGATAACAACTTTAATTTATTATTATTTTATTTTTTATTTAATCCATATTATTGAATTCAAAATTAATGGTTAGATTTGAAACACAGCCAGTCTCGTTCATAAGAAACACGAGGGGTTCAAAATTCTTAGCATTTTAATCTATCATCACATATGATTTCTCTACTTTTACTCTTTCCATTTCACTATAATTAATTAACCACACTAGCTAATTATTAAAGTCAATATAATTCAATGCAGATTCTCTGACAACAATACAAGTCGCTCCTCGGTGAAGATTTTATTAATTCACAGCTAGCACAAATTAGGTGAATAGACGTAAACAAAGACCAAAGGAAGACTAGCATGCCTGGTCGTGGATGGAAACTTTGACCGGCATCCCTTTCCTACAAGCTTCGCTGTATTTGCGCATGTGACTGCATGTACGATAGTGCGCGTGACAATTAGCCAAAAAAACATTTAAATATTTTTGGAATATGCATAAAATCCTTAATTTAATCGCTGTCGCCTTCATTTTTTCTATCATTTTTTTGCGTGTATATAAACAAAGGCTCCTCCTCCTTCGAATCTTTATCGACAGCAATTTCTATACCAACCAACTTTCGGTTTGACAATAATATTATTTCCTTCTCTTTGAACCCATTTTCTGGAGCAAAAACTTTGCAAATACAGTACAGTAACTCAAAATGATCAGAAACGAGGGGAGGGGAGCTTATTCTGACAACAATTCTGATACAGAAAGCATAGCAAGCGACAGGGCAGCCTTTAGTGGGCCTTTAGGATCAGGAGGAGGAGCACCTCTCACTAAAAAACATTCTTCCAAGAAGAGCGCGAGGTTCAATATTCCTCCTGAAACCACTACAAATTCCAGTGTTCCTGACGATCCATCTTCCTATGTAGAGATTACTTTGGATATTCATGATGATTCTGTGGCAGTTCACAGAGTTCAGGGAGCTAATGAGGATCCCGAATTGACTTTGCTGGCGAAGACAGCGCTGGAGGGGAATAATTCCTCCTCGCTGCGGTCTTCGTTGTTTAGGAACACATCGTCCAAAATCAGGCAGGTCTCTCAGGAGCTAAAACGTTTTACTTCCTTATCAAGAAGGTCATCCAGAGCTCGAAGGTTTGATAGGAATAAGTCAGCAGCGGCTCATGCCTTGAAGGGACTTAAGTTCATTACCACCAAAACTGGAAATGGATGGCCTGCTGTTGAGAAGCGATTTCAAGAATTTACTGCTTCTACTAATGGCCTACTTCCATGTTCCTTGTTTGGCGAATGCATAGGTAAGTACCCTTGCTAGCTGTTAAATTATTCGTCCCCCTTATCTGATCATTTTTTCATTATTGATCACTGTATCTATACACGACAGGCATGAACAAGGACTCCAAGGAATTTGCGGGTGAATTATTTCGTGCACTTGCTCGGAGAAATAACATCAATGGTGATTCAATTAACAAGGCACAGCTTAGACAATTCTGGGATCAGATTGCCGATGAAAGCTTTGACTCCAGGCTCCAAACTTTCTTTGACATGTAAAGTGTTTAATATTTATGTTTGGGCTGTTTTTTTTTTTTTTAATTGTTGCTTACCAGTAACGTGTTTAATACTTTATAATCTGTGCAGGGTCGATAAAGACGCTGATGGAAGAATAACAGAAGAAGAAGTGTTGGAGGTAAGCGATCAAATGATTATTTTATTAACGTGGACCCATTCAAAACAGCTAAAAAAAGCATCATTTTCTTAGAACGATCCTTCTCTTCTTCTTCTTCTTCTTCTTCTTCTTTCGGTAAGATGAAAATTAATTGTGATTGATTTATCGACTTTATTCCTTAAATACCACAAATAGTTGTGATTGACCATATCAAATTTATTTGTAGATTATCAGTCTAAGTGCTTCTGCAAACAAGCTCTCCAACATTCAGAAACAAGCTAAGGAATATGCAGCGCTAATTATGGAAGAATTAGACCCAGATAATTCTGGATATATCATGGTACACTACACAAAAAGTTCCATCTTAAGTGTGATTGAAAGATGACATAGGTTTATTTATCTTTCCGGCATAATTAATTTCCTTTGAATGTTGTTTTGGTGCCAATAAACAGATTTATAACTTAGAAACACTACTATTGCAAGCACCTAACCAGTCCGTCAGAGTTACCGATAGCCGAATTCTGAGTCAATTATTGAGCCAAAAGCTGAAGCCTACCCAAGAGAACAATCCATTAAAGAGATGGTACCAAAAAGTCAAGTACTTTTTGACGGATAACTGGCAGAGAGTTTGGATAATGATATTGTGGATGGGAATCGTTGGTGGTTTATTTGCTTACAAGTTCATACAATATCGGCACAGGGAAGCCGCATATAACGTAATGGGCTATTGCGTTTGCGTTGCCAAAGGAGGGGCAGAGACCCTTAAATTCAATATGGCCTTGATTTTACTACCAGTCTGCCGGAACACCATTACTTGGCTCCGAAACAAGACCAAATTGGGTGTAGCTGTGCCTTTTGATGACAATCTAAATTTCCATAAGGTACGAGACTTTTATATTCTTTATAATTTCTAAGTCTGCGTGATCTTAAAATCTAAAATGCTTGTTATGATTTGTTCAGGTTATTGCAGTAGGAATTGCCATTGGAGTTGGATTACATGCAGGGGCTCATATAGCATGTGATTTTCCGCGAATTCTTCACGCCACTGAAGACGAATACGAGCAATTGAAACCTTACTTTGGAGATGACCAACCTGAAAACTACTGGTGGTTTTTGAAAGGCGTGGAGGGGGTCACGGGCGTTATAATGGTAGTGCTAATGGCCATAGCATTCACATTAGCCACGCCTTGGTTCCGGCGGAACAGGCTCAACCTGCCTAAACCTCTCAAGAAACTCACTGGCTTCAATGCATTCTGGTATTCTCACCATCTGTTCGTTATTGTCTACACTCTCCTCGTTGTCCATGGAATTTACCTCTACCTCACAAAGACATGGTATCAGAAAACGGTAAGTTCGTCATTCCTCCCTTGCGTTGCAACTGAATCAAGAATTTGCTTCGTTTCGACCTCTCAAGTTCTTATAAATTAACTATCCACTTTCGACATTCTTGACTGTAGACATGGATGTACCTAGCGGTGCCGGTTATCCTTTATGCATGTGAAAGGTTGATCAGGGCTTTTAGATCAAGCATCAGAGCCGTTAAGATTCTCAAGGTATAATACAACGAAGTTCATCTAGTTCTTTTCAAACTCTACTGGCTAATTCATATTTACTGACGAGTGAAGACCACTATTTTGTCCATGAACCTTTGTTAGGTTGCCGTCTACCCAGGAAACGTCCTGGCGTTGCACATGTCCAAGCCCCAAGGCTTCAAATACAAGAGTGGGCAGTACATGTTTGTCAACTGCGCTGCAGTTTCTCCATTTGAATGGTAAGTTGGTCTAATTTGTGTGGCAGACAGCTAGCTAGTGCGCGCTAGTGCCCACTTATGCCCAAGAAATCCAATCCCATTACATTGTTTAATCATTGGCCTTTGACACTAATGCGTAATTGGTATGAACACAGGCACCCATTTTCTATCACTTCAGCACCAGGAGATGACTACCTGAGCGTGCACATTCGAACACTCGGTGATTGGACACGACAACTCAAAACTGTTTTCTCTGAGGTATGTTGTTAGCTTAGATTTTTGCTGCATGCCAAATCAAATCCCCTTCTTGTTTTGTTCTGAACAATCTCTTATGTTTTCAATTGTTGTTATAGGTTTGTCAGCCTCCACCTGCTGGGAAGAGTGGATTACTCAGAGCTGATATGCAAGGAGGAAGCTATCCTAGGTAAATCAACCTTCTTTCGAAAACTACTAGTACTTGTTTTTTTCTTTTGAGAACTCGTGCAAATTACATTTATGCATGGTTTGCGGACTGTCTCAGATCAGCTCCAAATATATCTAGGCATGGTTATGCTCATTAATTTTTAGTCCTTTAATTTTATTTTATTTTAGGTAAGTTTTTTTAGTTGAATCTTTCCCATTTGAGTCTCTAATTCTTTAAGAATATTTAATAGTGTTGTTCCACAAGTACCCTTTTAAAGGATACCCAAACCGTTGGTCATGTCAATGATCAAAAGAATATAGTAGGAGCATACGTCCTTAATCGATTAAAAAACTCTCAATATATAGATATTCAAAAAAAGAAAATTTTAAGTTGAAAGACTAAATTAAAAATCATAAAAAATTTAAAGGTCAAAAAATGCAATTATCCCTTTCATTAGTCATGTAATCAAGCATGCTTTCATTTATTATTTATTATTTATTTGGTTGCATGGAACATTTATATTTATCTTGGTGGAAGGTGTTGACGAATTGATAATAAACAGTCAACTAGATATCTTTTGGAACTTTGATTGATAATTTAGTTTTCACATTGAGCATGCTACTAAAATCATATTTAAATTTGACTGGTTTTTTAATCAATAATGTTGGGTTGGTCATCCATAATATCAGTGTAACTTTATTGCCTTGACATTTCAATGACAAGTGGAGATTAAATCAATGTTACAGCTTTCCCAAGATATTAATCGACGGTCCATTCGGAGCTCCAGCACAAGACTACAAGAAATACGATGTGGTGCTTCTAGTGGGGCTAGGCATTGGAGCCACACCTATGATCAGCATTGTTAAGGACATCATCAATAACATGAAACTCGACAAGGATGAGGAGGATAATGGAGTATTAGAGGGTTTAGAAAGTGGCAGAGTAACACCCAATAAGAACAAAATTAGTAGCAAGAGTAATTTCAAAACAAGAAAAGCATACTTCTACTGGGTTACAAGGGAACAAGGTTCATTCGAGTGGTTCAAAGGGATAATGAACGAGGTGGCAGAAATGGATGACAAGCAGGTGATAGAATTGCACAACTATTGCACTAGTGTATACGAAGAAGGGGATGCAAGGTCAGCCCTCATCGCTATGCTCCAGTCATTACACCATGCCAAAAATGGCGTGGACGTGGTTTCAGGCACAAGGGTCAAATCCCACTTTGCCAAACCCAACTGGCGACAAGTCTACAAGAAAATCGCACTCCACCATCCAGATGCTCGAATTGGTAAGCTCACCTACCCTTCCCCACCTACTCTTGTTGGGCCTTCCTTTTCCGTTTTTTTGTCTGTCCGCGAATCTAAGAAAATGATACTAACTATCCAATTTCGTGTCAAAATTTATGTGCAGGAGTTTTCTACTGTGGGGCACCAGCACTCGCAAAGGAGCTAAGGCAACTAGCTTCAGACTTCTCTCGCAAGACCTCTACGAAGTTTGATTTTCATAAAGAGAACTTCTAAGGAAGGAAGAAGAACGGAGAAGATTTACATTTACGTGTGGGGTAGCTGGGGTCTATGCGAATGTATATTTCTAGAATATACCCCGTCAGCACCCAATTGCAAATAGTAGCTTTGTTTCTAGAATAATTTATGTTAGGTATCAAAAGCATACTCATGAAATTACCCTTCTTGCATTCAGATTAAAGCAAATTTTTTTATTTAACTTTTTTTTTGGAGAGGAGATTTATAATTTGATCAAAGTGTATTGCAATCCATTTATTCTTGCAATCCATCTTTGTGTAAAATTATTTTCTTATGTAAATTAACACTCTTGTTGCATTAATTTTTTATAAGCTCTTTATTTTATCTCTTATTGAATTTATGATATATTTTTTTAATATAGCCAGATCTTTTTTTATGAATTAAGATAGCTATACCTTAATAATTAAACTTATCAATTATATGTAATTCACTTATAATTATATGTAATCCGATATAGAATAGTATTTTCAAGATCACATGATATGATTGATTAGCTAATGTTTCAAAATTAAATCTTGGTTCATTAGAAGCATATAAAAAGGATACTTAAAGCTCCCATTAATAAAAAAATAGAATGTCCTCCAATATACAAAATAAATTGTTGAAACTATGAATTATATGTAATTCACTTGATAATTATTTGTTGTTTCATTGTTTATAGTAAATATTTAAAAACAAAGTACAAGCGTGACTTGTCTAGTACTAAAGAATTAATATTACTATTAAAAACTTTATAAAATAAAGTGATAGCTTGTAAAAAAAATGCATATAAATAGATCCTCTACAAAACATTGTGGTAAATTCTATTACTTAATTTGAATGCGATGACACAATATTCATAACAAAAGAAAGTATCAATTAAAAATCTGACAATAATCTAGGCATGTAATAACAGATTTGATCAAATATGTAAGGACTAATTAGATTATTTTTAAAATAAAAAGATATTTAAAGGAGTTATTTTCTGATCACTCTCTTTTCTTTTAAAGTAGTTTAATATATTTTGGAGAAATTGTAAAATACTCAATGAATAGTTTTCATTATGAAATTTTTATTTTTTCAATATATAATCTTAATTTCTCAACCTGAAACATTGAATATGAAATTAACCTATATATATATACATACTAGCTACCTTATGCATTTAATCTATAAGTAAGAAAAAGCTCAACTAATAAGCAATATAATTAATATATAGAAGTACAAAATGCAAAGGGAAGATATTGTTGGGATTTCACATACATGTTCAGATAAGGACACTTCAAAGGGGGAAATCTATCTTTTTTATTATCTCTTAAGATATTTATCGCAAGATCGATCATGGTCTCCAAAGCAGTTTCAGTTCATTGGGACATTTGCTGTTGCGACCAAGGTTTCTTTGTTGCACTATATGTGGAGCAAACATATGGTACGTATTGACTATCGAGGAAGATAAATTCCACCCACCCTTTTAACACCACTATCTTTGATTAGGATTTATTTTTAGAAATATCAATTTCTATCTTGTTTTGCTAATTACACTAATATATATTTTATCCAAATAACCTTTTATGTGAACTGAATTAACAAGTACGTATTATTGTTAAAAAAAACATATTTCCAAGCTATCGTGCGAAAGGCCTTTCAAGTTTTCTGCTGCGTTTACGACAAGAAAACAGTGACAGACCCGTTCTTTCCAATAAAATCGAAGTCTATTGACCACAGAAGAACTTTACATTTTCTGTCCGTTATAGGCGCTAATCAATCAAAGCTTGAATACAACTCTTCTGACTGGAACATTAAGAGGGCTTAGGATCGAAAGGTGCCAAATAATAACTTCATCGATCGAGACAAATAATTTTCTTTTTCTTTTGTTTTTTATTGTTGAAATTAATGTGACGATCGAATTGCAGAAATATTCGAAGATTACGCACACATAATAAAGTCACAGAGAGAAAGAAAAATTGTACCCGGCCAGAGCTACTATTATTTGAATTCATTGCATCTGTATAACTAATTTATAACTTTTTGGTAAACAGACATATATCGCAAGTTAGAAAATATAATAGCCAAATGCAAAGTTTCATGAACGTGGGAGAAGATTCTTCCAGCCTACTTCAGAATTTTCCAATTCCGTGATCCTTTTGCATTAGTCATGTACGCCCATACCAAATGGGGTAGGTGATCATTAACTTTTATTCATAAATTTATATAAAGTAACCAAGAGAGGTGGTCCATTATTTGTTAACCGCGAATTGATATAACGAAAAGTAAACTTTTCATACAACGACCACTCATGAGATTAAAAATTTATATTTTATCTATTATAATTTATAGTTTGTGACATATTTACGTTGTCACGCGTTGTCACTAACATCTAACATCGACAAGACTTTAAATTCGATTCCGACATATATCTGATCGAGAACTTTTCACATAAATTGATGGTGTAATATGGACATAAATTTTCTATGTGAGTTAATTTAACTACATTTCATTCTCATTAAATAAAAAAAAAAAAGAATCCATCAGAATATTTTTGTACTTATAAAATTCAATAATAAATTATTTATACAATGAAACCCAAATTAATTCTCAATGGCATATATCATAGGTTATCCCGTTATCCCATTATCCTTTTTTTTTTTTTCTCTCTCTCTCTCTCTCTTATGTTAAAATTTTTACTTTGAGTTTTACTGATGTAAAAATATTTTGATGGTTTTTTTCTTTTTTAATGAATGAGAGATAGTTTTACAAGGGGTACTTTTCAGTAATTATGCTACATAATTGTACATATAGTTTTATAAAATTAAATACAATTATACATATAATATATGGGGGTGTGTGTGTGTTAGTGAGGGAAAGGAAAGAAGAAATAATTTGATACACATTTTAGTATAAATATTTTATGTTGTTAATTGACTAATTGTATATATGAATATAAAATAAATAAATAGCATAAATATATATAATACATCATTCAAAAAGTACCCATCATATATTTTTGTATCTATATATAAAAAACTTTGAATAAACTTTTTTCATATTCAAAAAACCAAATAGGTTAATGTTGCATGTTATGCGAGAGTTAGACGTTTTAAAAATTTTGGTACGAATAATTTGGTAGGAGATCCACACAAATAAATCAGTTGTTTAATCTTAAATATAATTAGTTCAACTTTAATAGACATTGTACTATGATTTGTATAAGAGTAAATTTTCACGAATCTAATTAATGAATGCGGACTGCTTAATATTTCCCAGTCAAATTAGTTACAATATATTTGGTGGTGATGGGGGCGCTTCAATCTAGCTATATCTTAAGCTTTTTGATAGGTTTTAGAAATTTATCTTTTTCTTAAAGCCACTCGTATTTTTCTTGATTCTAGTGATGTCACATATGATTATATTAAATCGATTTTTGCGATACAGGATATGTCAGGTTTTTTTTTTATAATACCGAGATTAATAGCAAATTAATATTTGATTAAAAATCAAACTAATTATATAAGTATTATTATTGAAGACGAACTCCTATGATAAAGATAAACGATAATTAAAAAAAAAAAAAAACTTCTAAAAAATCTTATATATAAAAAGCCCATAAATTTGGGCCATAAAATCAACCCCATCCACAGAAAAGCAAAGATGCAACACTCTGAAAAAAATGCTGTTGGATGAACAGTGTTCTTTTCGAATTTTGACATGATTTCTATAGTCGGGTCTAGGGAAGGAAGGCAGTGCGTCGAATACAAAATAGATAACTTACCTAATTCGTTCATTAATTATCCTTTTAAATATTCTAATGGATAATAAATTAAATATGAATAAAATAATATTACTCATTTATGTTAATAAGTAATTTATCTATTAATATGGGTATTCTCTTATTATCATATTGATATCCATCTTTTACCTATTAACATAAAAAAAAAAAAAACTAAAATACAAAATTTTAAAATAAATAAAAGAAAGGAGCAATTTCTCTTATTGATGAATTAAAAGCATAGTGTATATGTGCGTGCGTGTGTGCAGGTTGTATTTTTTTTTTTTTTTACACAATGCATTTTTATTTTACATTCTTTCCTACAATATTTTTTTAAGTTTTTCTTTCATTTGAGTTTGAATTGGATTCTAATTGAGAAGTTCAAATTGACATGTTTTTATTAGTAAATGTTATTCGACCAAAATATTTATCCGTCAAAATCAATATTGAACTTTTTTTTCCTCCAATTAACAAAATTAAATATTACAATTTTCATAAATGTTTACCCTCCCATCAAAATGAAAAAGGAAAAAACTTCAAAAAAAAAAAAAAAAAACAAACATGTCCAGTTCATTAACTTTATTTATTTATTTGGTTCTAGCAATGAAACAAACTTTCACAAAAGGGAGAAGAAAGGGATTTGACCGGATTGTAGTCAAGTTCTTTCCCTCGTCAACAAAAACTCAATCTCTACATTTTAACAAACACTAAAATCATTGATAAAATACGATTAAAAAACATGTTAAATACATCTCGGGTCTTGTATTATATAAAAAATATCATTGCAATCTATCTATCCAAATATAGTTTATAGCAAATCTTCTACTATTAGACGTTGATGCAAAACAATTCTTTTGTTAATTTTTCATCGGATCGACTAATTTTTATTAATTGACTAACATTTCACTAATGAATTACCGACACGAGTCAACTTAACAGCAAAAAATTAGTTTTTTAAAAAATAATTTAATTTTTATATTAAAATAATTAATAAATATTTTATAATTATTAAAAATTGGAAAAAAAATTCTAATTTTTTATATAATAAAAAATCTTACTTTTTAATGATTTTATAATAATTATTATCAAAGAAAATTTTAAAAAAATATGTAAAGAATTTTTTTTTGAATTTTTAATTATTTTATAATAATTATTAACATTTTTTTCAATCTTTAATATTTAAAATAATTATTAATAAAGATATTTTTAATTATTTTAATAAAAAAATTGATTATTAATTTTTTTTTTTTTTGCAAAAATTATCTTTATATCTTTCAACTAATTTTATAATAATAATTAATTATTTTAATAAAAAATTGATTGTTAATTTTTTCAATTTTGTGGGAAAGAGTTTTTTTTAGATTTTTTTAAGTTTCTTTATTAGTAATTATTACAAAATCATTAAAAATTTCTTTAGAGTTTTTTTTTAAATTTTATTTATTAATAATCATTAAAATTTGAAAAGAAAATTCAATTTTTAAAGTTAAATAAATAAAACATATTATAAAATCATTATAAATAAAAAAAATTCTTATTATTTTAAAATTTTTCTTCAGAATTTGTTTTTCAATTTTTAATTATTTTAACATTGAAAAATTGAAAAAAAATATTTTAAAAGAAAAAAATATTTTTATCCATAAGTTGACATGTGTCACCACATGATTGGCCAATCGTTAGGCAACTAACAAAAATTAGTCAATCTAACAAAAAGGTTAATGAAGGAGATATTTTACACCAACATCTAATAATATAAGATTTGTTATGAACTATATCTAGGTAAAGGGATTACAATAATATTTTCGATATAGTATAAGAGCAAGAGGTGTATTTGACCCGAAAAAAGAAAACCCAACTCCAACTAACTAAATATTAAATCCCAAGTGATGGGGTAATAAAAGAGCGAAGGACTATCCACTAAGGATGAAAAAAAGACAGCGAGAGGGTAAATTACAAATTAATTTCTCTTGTTTTGTGTCGACAGGGCTCGTAAATTGACGCGAGAATGGAGTCGCCACCTAACTAATCGGAGAGAACTAAGAAATCCTAAATAAGCCGGTTTACATAAATATTTGAATAAGAGGTCAATTATGTATGAAAAAGATATGATATCATCATCATTCCATCCTACTCGAGCTTAGTTGCATTAAATGCATACGAAAATAAAAGTCCGGTTTAATTATGCTATGTTTCTATACCTATTTGAGTGAATTTATTTTGTTGGAATGGATTAGTAAAGTAATTCGAGTTCAAACCAATCCAAGACTAATACCCATACTTAAAAGAGAAAGGTAAGAGAGATCGAAATTTTGGCTAATCTTAAACGAACACAACCTATATCGTTAAATAGGTGAGTTTCTAAAAGTTGTGAGCCTATATTGACATGAACGAGAAAATCATCGATAACTTCGCTCACATAAGTGAAAAGCCACCATCGACTTAGGATCATGAGTTTAGAAAGTCACCAATGACTTCGTTACATAAGTGGAAAACCAACGCCGACTTTGAATCACGTGAAAATCAATCATTTAAAAAAGTTTGAAAGTCACCGGTGACTTCATCCACATAATTAGGAAGCCACCAATAGCTTCATTCGTAACATAAAAAGCAAATAAAATGATTTGAAAATCATCGACGACTTTGTACATGTAGGTGAGAAGCCACCAAGCAATTTCATTTCAAATGAGCAGAAAGTCGAGTAAAAATGACTTTGAAACCACCGATGATTTCCTCACATAAGTGAAAAGCCACCAACGACTTCATTTTAAATGAATAGAAAGCAAGTAAATTAATTTGAAAGCCACTGAAGACTTCGTCCATACGAGTGGGAAGCCACTCGGTAGCTTCATTTCGAACGAGTAGAAAGCAAGTAAAATGACTTTGAAACCACTAACTCGCTTCATCATATAAGTGAAAAGTCATCGACGATGTCATTTCGGTGATCAAAAATTAGGATAACATGATTCGAGAGCCACTAGCAGACTTCGTCCACATAAATGAGAAGCCACTAGCAACTTTATTTCAAACAAATAAAAAATGGGTAAAATGACTTCGAAACAACTATTGACATCATCACATAAGTAGAAAGTCATCGATAGTTTCATATCAAATGAACATAAAATAAGTAAATTGATTTGAAAGCCATTGACGGCTTTATCCATACAAGTGGGAAGCCATCAACGAGTGATTTCATTTTAGATGAGCAGAAAGTCGGTAAAAATGACTTTGAAACCACCGATGCTTCCTCACATAAGTGAAAAACCATCGACAGTTTCATTTTAAATGAATAGAAAGCAAGTAAATTAATTTAGAAGCCACCGATCGCTTCGTCCATACGAGTGGAAAGCCATTAGTAGCTTTATTTCATACGAGTAGAAAACGAGTAAAATGATTTTGAAACCACTAGTTGTTTCATCACATAAGCGGAAAGTCATCAACGATTTCATTTCGGTGATAAAAAATTAGGATAACATGATTCGAGAGCCACTAGCAGACTTCGTCCACATAAATGAGAAGTCACTAATGACTTTATTTCGGACAAATAAAAAATGGGTAAAACAAATTCGAAACCACTATTAGCATCATCACATAAGTAGAAAGTCATCGGCAGCTTTATTTCAAATGAACATAAAACAAGTAAATTGATTTGGAAGCCACTCGGTGGCTTTATCCATACAGGTGGGAAGCCACCAACGGTTTCATTTTAGATGAGCAAAAAACAAATAAAATAACTTCGAAATCATTAGTGGGTTCGTTACATACTTAGGAGGCCATCGAAACTTTATTTTTGTGATCAAAAATCAAGATAACATGATTGGAGAGCCACCGATGACTTCGTCCATATAGATGGAAAGTCATCGACGCTTCATTTCAATTAAGTAGAAAGTAGATAAACTCTCAAACATAATTAGACAAAGTATTTGATAATTCAATCATCCATAATATCACATTTTTATCATTTTTATTCATCATTTTTAAATAGTCCAAATAAGTTCAAAAATTACCCAAATGTCGTGAGAGGGTTAACAGTTCTTTTTTTTGGATTAGTTTTACTTCTTTCAACCTCAATGAAGATTGATTATTTTAGTCGACTAAGAAGGGTGAAGCAACCGTTCTTGATCTTTTTTCATTTTTTTTTTTGTCCGACTTAATGTTCCATAACAAAAATTAGTTATGTTTTATCCAGATCCAATATTCATGTTCTTTCACCGACAAACTAACTATTCCGTCCATTTTCCTTTTCCACCGCCAACAAACAAAAGCAATATAAAAAATTTAACCCGTAACATCATGTTGTTCCAATCAAATTCAATAATCAACTAATAATAGTTTTTATATTTTGTTCCGTCCAAAAATCAATTCAAATTTTTGTTATCGTCAACACCAAAACACACATATTCCGTATTTTTATTAGTTCTATCCAAAATTTTAGGGGTAGTATCGAAACGGGTCTTTTGAGAAAGTATTTAGATGGGTTGGTTTTGGTTAGTGGTTGTTCGTTTTGGGTGTAATTGATAGTGGTAATAGATACTAGGGCACCGTGGTGGTGTCCGAATGAAGGCTTGGTGGTGTTTGGTGGCTATAGAGTTCAAGTAAAAATGAAGAGGAGGATCTGTGATGGTGTTCGGTTGGAGTTAGGTGGTGAAGCCTAGGCAATAGCTAAGGTTGTGTTTTTGGCATCGAGGACGGCGACAAACGACAACTCGGTAAGGGAGTTTCTAGTATTGAACGATAAGGAGGAGTAAGAGCTGGTCGTTTTGGTGCCGACCTTCTAGTGGTAGAGTAGGAAGGTTGGTCGTTTAGGGGTTAAGACTCGGGTGGTAAAGGAGGAAGGGTTGGTCGTTTAGGGGATGAGTCTCGGTTAGTGGAAAAGGAAGGGCTATAATGGAAGAGCTCTCAAGTTCGAGGCTAGAGGAAGCGGGGGATGTGATAGAGGCTTCGAGTGAGGTGGTGGAAGGAAGCTATGGTGTTCGGGTAAGAGGAGGAAGGAGGTTAGGGTGTTCAAATGAAGAGAAAAGAAGGTTATCGTGTTTGGGTGATGGTCTAATCAAAGATGATGGTGGTAGCTAACCAAATGAGAAGAAGAAGCAAGTGGTTACTGGTCATTTGGAGAAAAATGGTTTCAGCTTGGTTTTCAAGAGAGGGACTACCAAATTTTTGGAAAGAAAATGAATAATTGTTGGCCTTTTTTCTTCTTGCTGTAATCAAGAGGGAGAGGAGATGAAGGTTGTGGCTTTGTGGGAGGGTGGTTGGCATGCTTAGATGGAGTAAGAGATGATGGTCTAGCCAAGTGAAGGGGAGAGTGATGGCTGAAATTTAGGGGAAGATGAGTGAATAGTGGCTAACCATAAAAAAAGAGAAAATAGTGGATATTTAAATGTGAAAATCGGGGCTTTTGGCAAAGATTACTTTTGATCCCTAATTGCTTATAATTTATCAATTTAAGTACAATTTTGATTGTTTGAACTTTAATGACATCCCTAAATTACAATTAACCAGGACCTTTTCTTTTAGATTTCTTTCAATTATACCTTTCATTTCTATTATTTAAGGGTTTGGGGCTTTGAGCTTTTTAATTGTATCCTCAATCGGGTTTCTATTGGTTCCTAAACTTCCTATTGTTTTAATTAGACTTTAGAACTAATTTGAGCCACTTATTTAAATTTATTTCTTTTCTCTTTTTTTATTTATTTATTATTATTATTATTTTTTTTTTGTATTTGTACGTAAAATATAAACAAAAATGATAGGGGTGAGAAATCGGGTACTAACGTTTTGAAAAACAAATTAATTAGTTTCTATCGTTTCAAAAACTAATAGTTTAATCTTTATATTTTTTAAATCTATTTGTAACTTAGTTGTTTTTGTTCTTTTTCAATTTAGATTAATTTTTTATGGAATTGATGAGAAAAAAAACATTTTATGAAATAAAGATAATATTAAATTAAATATGATGAATAATGATAAAAAACTAAATAATAATTTTTAAAATAAGAAAAATTAATTAATTTGTTTCTTGATACTAGAGAGACTAATTTATAATTTACTCCACAATGGCAATAAGGAGTCAGGTAGAAGAAATTTATTTTCAAAAAATGGTCAAAGAAAATCCCTCCCCCGCCGTTTTTTTCCTCTATAATCCCTTTACTGTTTTCCTTCTTTTTTTATTGTCTCTCTCTTTCTTTTTCCCTTTTTCTCTATGGAAAATTCTTTTTTTTCCCCCTTTGGTTGCTTTCTCACAAATCAAGAATAAAAATACAGTACGTCTTAAAATCATAAAAATTTATAAAAATATTTAAAAAATATGAAAAAAATTTAAAAAACTATGCAACCTGTAATTTTTTTTATTTTGAATTTTTTTTTATTAATAACTTTCTATGAAATTTTTACAGTTCAAAACAAACTATGACAACCGCTACCGCCACGGCTTACATCATCTTTGCTATTATTAAATAAACAACATTGACCCTCAATCGTCAAAAATTAATAATTTTAAATAACTTTTACATTCTTAACATACTCGGCCAAACATTCATAATATTTACACCTTAAGTTATATTATCGCAGCATTTTACTATCGTTTCTAAGCATATAAAATTAACGATTATAAATATGCATGATTTGATGGGTAAATGTAATGTTGGAAAGAAGTTTTTAGATATGTGGTTTTTAGAATTGCTTTCCCATGCATTTAAGTTTTACAATAAATTGATCTAAAATCCAAATTTGATGGTATAATTAATTGTTTGAATTGTGAGATTGAAGACTTCAGTGAAGTGTTTTTTGTGAATCAATGTTCAAAGTCTAAGATCACCGTTTTCTTCAATTTCAATAAAAGACATCTAAGACCATGTTTCCTTTAGATCCTGTTCCTTCTTCTGTCTTTTCTACCTTATTTAAAATCTCGTCAATTGACTTTCTCAACCAATTATATATATATATATATATACTTTGCCGCCCTTCGTTAGAATCGCATTTCTAGAGACGTCTGGTTAGCTGCAACATAACACGTGGGAAGATACTTACAGAAGATACACGTTTTTGTTAGTTGGAATGCCAAAGAAATGTGAACAAGAAATAGAAACATGTGGCCCCAGCGAAGTCAAATGTGGGCCAATTTTTCACGATTCCGCGATTGAGTAAACTGAACTACTCGTAGCAAGGTTCTCTCTTTTTTCAAAAGTCAATAATCTCGTTCTCCTATATTATAATGAGATGTGAGAAAGAGAGAAGGAATATGAGTTATTGTAGTTAAAGTTACCTTTACAAATATTCCTAATTAACATCCATGATCAATGAGATAAAAAAAATATTATCGTGTCTCACAAATTATTCAAATTCAGCACTTTATTTATATGTTAATCTTATGCAAAAAAAAAAAAGTTTCCGAATTCATTTATTTTAAAAAATTCAACCAAATTCTTTTAGTGAGAATTAACCGTCTTCGTCATAGAGTGGCTGACCTGAGATTCAGAATTACGGTTTCATGGAAATAATGTTTTGATTTTCTCCTTCATAGTACCTACCGAAGCATCTAAAGACTAAAATAATATTATTATTAAAATATAAGAAGAATCTTGCAAACTTGTTTGGAGCTAATTGGGGTAGCTCATAAATTTTATATTACTTGAAGAATAATTATCAATAATTTCACTGTTTTTATGTTTTTTTTTAGTTGCTTTTGTTGTTCTAGAAGATTTTTTTTACCTTTCGACCAAAGTTTAGTTGTTTGCATTTTGTTGTTTGATAGGATTGGGCAACTTTCCTAGTTTTGCATGAAAGAAACCTTGCCTCAATCAATCTGGTAGTACAATTGGTTCCCCTGCTAATCTATGGCAACAAGAAACTCATCTGTATACATGATTTGACCAAAAAAAAAAAAAAACACTATTTTGAAAACCCTAGTCAGTAAAGTTCAGATAGTTAATGACGCCTATAAGATCTTTTTTCACCATAGTTGGGTTTCCTCGAATCTATTTTCAGTTAACAGCTTTATTTTTATACAGTAAACATAAAAATTGCATCTTGCTACTTAAAAAATAATTCAACGTAACATTCACTTACAATCAATAGTTAAAGACGGTCTTTCAAGTGATATTTAGACCTTTCATAAATTAATAGAGCTATCCAAACTCCTCTAGCTTCCCAAAACAGGATTTTTTTTCCTTTTTTTTTTTTTCTTTTTTGGCAAATCAAACACGCAAGCGAGTTTCTTATCGTATACATTAAACTGGGAAATAGGCTGCATTACTAGAGGCCCAAGTAAAAAATTTGATCAAACAAAACCTAAAAAAGCCCAACCCTTCCAAACAACGTATAAAAGCACCAAACATTTATTTTCTGATCTAGAAACATAACATAAAACAATCATCTAGAAAGACATCATAGCTACAAATTTGGTGACAGGAAACAAGCAAAAGATAAATCCCGTCAATATAGAAGAAACAGCATACGGGGAGAAGAAAAAGAAGGTAAAATGAGGCTGTCACTAGCCCAACATAGCCAAGGATAGCCTTAGTTATCAAGTATTTTTAGGGTTGGGTTTGCAGAGAGAAGAAAGGTTTGGTGTGGTCGAGAATCGAGAGGAGGAGAAACCCTTTCTACAACATTTCATGGATTGTCATCGAATGAATGGACAGGTAGATTTTTTATTCAAACAATGTACACGTCAATTGTGCCGCACAAACTCCTGAAAGAATGGGATCAATAAAATGACTAAATTTGACGGATTAGATCAGATTGTCCTGTGGCCATAGATTCAAGACTTAGGCAAGTGAACAATTGAGTGAGCTATGAACATATTTCAGCGTAATTTTTAATTTGCTAGAAACCATACCAGTTTGAAACACTCACAATCCATCCAGATCTCTCCTATGTAACCCTAATTCAATAGTTACAGATCTATCCTGGATAGATAGGGTTGAACAGTTTAATCACACTGACAAGATGTCAAGATCCAGGTATCAGCCTACGCCATCCGGTTTAGGGTGAAGGGCTGAAGGCATTGTTATTTTTTCATATCAGCCTACCTCGCTTTTGTAATACAATCAGAGTTACATTCTACATTATATTTTATTTTGTGTATTTTGGTGGTGAAAAGCTATGTTCTGGTCCAATTACCCTAGCAATTTTCAAACTTGAATTTAAGTGCCTAGTTATCAACATAAGCACGAACTTAAACCTGCATGATAGTTTCTACATTTCCACTTGAACCAGACAGTGCGATCCTTCGATAAAAGAACAAATTTCCAGGTTCATGTGAATCATCAAGGACACTTATGTAGGATTTGAATACAACTAAAATCTTAAGACAAAACTAAAACATCAAGGAAGAAACATTTAGCTAAAAGAACATAAACCAGAATTTAATAAACAGCAAAAAAGACAACAAGGATCATCTAACCCAAAAAGAAAAAAAAATGGCAGGGAGTGAAGGGACCAAAAATATAGCTTACGCTCTGTAGAAAGGAAGAAGACTGGAAGATTAAAAGTTCAGCTGAGAAAAAAAGGATATGTGCTCAAAGAAAGCCAAGAATAAGCTAAGCATGCAAGTAACAACGGCCCAATATGCAACACAATAAAGCATCACAACCACATGGAAAATAAATTTCACAGCAGAAAATTTTAAATCACAGTAAAAAATTATGAATACAGCAGAATTGTAACATTCCAAAGCAAGGTGACACATAAAAAAAAATAAAAGGTCAGGTGAAGTACAGTAAGCTCATTATCTGCATTTCGTTCTCCACAGAAAATTAGGATACAATATTCATAGCCATGGAAGGGGGAATAGAATATGACATGATGCATCAAGACATGGCCAATTGTACTATGCACTGATTAGTTGATTACTGAGTTTATCTCCTTTCTAAAGACAACTACATAATCCATTTGGTCAGCTTCCAACATAACATCTAGCGTTTCAAGAAAGAAAGGGATGAACCAGCAGGCATCAAATTGCAACTAAAATGGATCAAATATTCTAAATCGTTGCTCACAAAGAGGATAAGGAAAAATACTAATGAAGTAAATAGGCACTATTGGAGTCCTTTATTGTCTTTTCTTTACACCCTTGCTTCCTTTTTTACTAGAGGTTTGAGGCGAATCACTGGTAGAGGATTCGACCAATGTTATGTCAGTAGAGTACTTTTTGACCCTCCAGGAAATAAGGATGCTTGATACTATCCCGAGTAAGGGAAATAGGTAAGACCAAACCTGAGATTTTTTAGAGCCAGATGCTGAAGCAACAGCAGCACCAGCAAGGCTGCCAATGGATGTGTTCTGTAGGATCATTGGAAGGCAACCAATAACTGTAGGAAGCAGAAAATCAACCACGAACCCAACTTCTGTAGCAGCTAAAGCATAGTTTATAACATAGGAGGGCAAGGGTGAGAAGCGTGCAAGAAGAACAAATTTCCATCCATCTCGTTCAACTCCTCTAGAAAGGAGATGGAAATATTTGTTACTCTGCACCCACTCCGTTGCTGAACTTGAACTCCTGAAAACTAGCCTGAAAAAATTCACAATATCAGAATGGATCCTGAAACTAGTAAACAAAAACCAGAGAGAAAGGAAGTTCCACAACAAATGCAAAATTGTAGGAGAACTTGATTGAGTCAGGCAGGCTTTAGACATCGGGTTAACAATGTACATCAACAGTCCATGCATAGACATGGTAGCTAAATGAAGCCTTTTCCAGCTGCTTGGCTAACCATGAGGAACATCTATGTCATTAAGGCATTAAGCTCTGGTTTTACTGATGTAGGACAGATTTGAGATTTCTGTTCTACAAAGGATTTGATGTGAGCCAGCATTTATTGTTTGTGAAATGAGGGTAGAATAGAGCTTGTTTAGAACGAAATAAGGAGAAATTGGTTCGTGAACAGTAATTCGCGACACTGTAGCATCGGAATGGTAAAACAAGAAAGAAGAGGAAATAGGAGAAAATAGTAAACAAGAGAACGGAGAAGAAACCTTAGGCACTAAGCCTTCAAAATCACAATAAAACTCAATTTATCTCATAACTCAACTCTAAACCCAAACATAGAAATCTATCTAGGCCACTTGCTTTTTGACCAAAAAGATTTCTAGCTTGATGAAGAATCACTCAATGTAGCTTTAGGTTTCCAAGGTGGAGAGTGTCTCTCTAAGTATAACATAGCTACTCCATCATCTACAGTCTTCACTAAGTCCCCACAAGCTTTTTTTTGGTACTGACCATTTCCTTTTAGCACACATGATCTTGCAACTATAAAAACAAGCAAGTCTTGAAAGTTGTCGCTGAGCTCATTTTTCCATTTCTGACATTACATCTTCTCTTTTTGCAATCAATCTGAGAATCTATGATGGAAATTGTGCAAGATATGTTTCTTGATTGCACAATGTGCACCAGAAAGCATGAAGTCCCTCTTAGATTTCTGCTCTTCAACCATCCTACTGAATTATATGAGCAAATAAGCTTTAATCATTTTAGTTTCGTCAGCTTTCATGGCTTTAGTATTCAGCAAAAGGTGACAGATTTGAGTGTGCAGTGTAAGAAAAATACCAAAAAATTAGGATTTATTTGATGGTGTACAAAAATTTTGCAGAATCTCCTGACATGTAGATCATAATTCAACAAGAAACTGCACTAAGCATATTAATAGGAAGAGCACTTCCTAATAAAACTAGATTCAACGACCAAAACCCAACCAATTTGGAAAGCACCCTTCATATAGAAATTTATTTCTCATACTAATAAAACTAAAACCTAGTTATTGAAGTAAACCTGACAAAAAAATATTGTTTAGAGAGAGACAGACCAGCCTATTAAAATGTTGGTCCTCTCACAATATTAATTTCCATCCACTTACTGCTTGTTCTGATTTTTCACCATTAACAAACATACTGAGTTTCTCCCTTGACAATGAAATGCATTCCAAATTAGTTATGTTAATTGATCACAGCATCTACAAGCACTGAGATAGTTCCCTGATGAGGTACAGAGAAATAATGAGCCATCCTTGAGCATGACTTACCAAGTCCATGTGCGTGCAAGGTGCCACAAAGCATAAGCCAGTGCTTAAGGTGTATTTCATGCAAGTAAGCTTCGATGAGAATGAGTTTGCAGTACCTGTGAGCTGTGTCATTGTCTAATTGGTGTG